ATTTATTAAAAAAATGTTTAACCAACTAGGCATTTCTTCGAAACTCCTGATCGGTTATCATATATTATATTTATATTTATTAGGAAAGAAATACAAATTATTGCATAGACAAGATGCTACTATATACTTAAATCTAATTATAAAACAGCATTCTTATTATATACTCATAATATTTTTTAATAATTTCATTTTACATCGGCGATTCCAAATTCTTAAAGAGTGGAATTTTCCGAATACAAAAACCGCTATTAAAAAATACATTGTGTTTGCTTTCTGAAATTAGCATAAACTTTGTTGGGTCTTCATTCATGCATACATACATACAGACAAATATACGCATACATACTTGCATTAACAGTCACACATACACATATACCACATACACATTGCATATGTCGATATTTTTATCGCATGACATTCCTTATAACTGAAATCTCGGAGTATGAAGTAATATGTATTTGTTCGTTGCATACTCATACGTTAATTAATTTTGCATGAGTAATTAGATATGAGTTAATTCTATGTACATATGTTTATGTGTCACGTAAAAAAACGGCTCCTAATTTCCGGGTTTCTCTTGCGATTGATATTTTGTTTAAATAAGTTACACGCTATAAAACTGATTTAAATGAAATTAATTTGGATATACTTAATTACTATTTATTTTTCTCTTTAATGGTAACAGCCAAACATTTTCATGTCCGTGTATTTTACTTTTTTTGATATGGGTATATTTATCACACCGTGTTACTTGATGTAGGTATAGTGAATTATTTATTTAAAGTCTAAATTTATTTCGACCTTCCCCTCTAAATAAAAATTATGTAATAAGTCCCTTGTTGCATTTGCATGCAGAAGTGCAGATAATAAGTGTGAGTGTGTGTTAAATATATTGTATATGTTTATGCATATATATGTATCTCGACACCCACGTCAAATCTAAAAAAAGACTTATTGTTTCTCACAACGAATAGTGCATTTGGTGCTCATTTAAATAACAGATTGTTACTTATTATTATTGTTACAAAAATTTATTGTGATATATAAAAATGCATACATTGGAAAATTGGATAGACGATGTGCTGTTGCAACTGCAGATTCCCAAAATATTAGACCAGAAGTTGTATTGAATTTACTTTACATTATATGGAAAGCAAAATATGAATTTTAAAATTTGAGCGTAAAAAATAAGTTCGGTTAAATAAGCAGGAGTTCTAAGACGGCAAAATTGTGGCGCATCAAAGAATTTGTTATTAGAGTTCCAGAGTTCCGCTGTTGTATTGGCAGTTTATAGAATTGAACTGTGTCAAAGTACTAAATAATTTTTATGGGTTTTATTTAGTCCAAGATCGCCCACTCACCAGTGGCGTAGCTATCCATATGGCTGTGCGGTGTAGTGCACCGGGGTCCTAAGCGTCCAGGGAGCCTCTGCCCGGTCCCGACAAAAACAGCAATGGTTGAACAGAGTTTTTCATTTCGCAATTCGTAATGCAATACAAAATAGTTATATAGTATACATATTATCTACATTATATGTTTTATAATTTCCATATTCTCTTTGATAAAAAAAATAAAAATCAGAATTTGTTTCAGGCAATAAAAACAGTCTTTATTAAAGGAAATCCAGCGTTTCGTCCAAAAGGTTGTAACTTTTTCAGGGAATTAAAATATATCGCTGGTATAGTTATTATAATTTCCTTGAAAAAACTTTTGGGCGAAACATCGGACTTTTTAATATGCGTATGTTTATTGTTTAAGTGATCTAAGAAGCAACATTTCTTGTGTGTATGCCAGTTTCATGCCATTACATCATCGTTTTTGTTACTGTTTATTAGATAGATAGATAGCTTTAGTAAAAACATTGTTTTATATGTATATAATAGATGCATTTACATTTAGCTACTCTATATTTACATATTAATTGTTATTCTTTCCGTTTTTCCGTTATTTTCTTCCTCCATAATATTTGTCTCATCCTTTTTGGCCTGTTGCTTCACATCTCTAAAGAATGTGTTCGAGCATATTTTCTTCTTTTCTTCTCCACAGCATTTGCCGTCCTATTTTCACTTCCCAGACTAAATTTTGCTATTAAAATTAATTCGTTTTTACTCTTTGCTCTTTTTTCTTTTATATAATTNTTATTGAGACTGTCTCATAGTTATAATACATTTGATGTTGTTGCATCTCATGCAATAAATATTATATTATTTTATTATTCGTAGATATTTTGGTATAAATTTAAATTCTATAGCCGGCGTGAGAAAGGCATTTTGTTTATGATGTTTAAACTGCTATTCAATTCTATATTATTTATTTGTGAAGTACCGTCTGTTATAAAACTTTGTATCTTTTGTTAGTCACGTTTCATGGTTATTGGTGTAGTTTCCAAATTTTATTTTTCCGAAATATTTATAGAAGTACCTGGATAAGGGTAATAACCTTGTTGCTAGCGGAACCGTTTTTGCACCCCCAAACAATGCTCGCTACGCCCAGTTAGGGAACTAGTTATAAGTATATTTAAGGGTCGAAATCATTCATTAAAAATAATTCATTCATCAATTCAACAACAAGCATTCAGAAGTATTCACCAACAGACATTCATTATCATCATTCGCAACCAATAACTTTCACACATTAAAATTGAGATTCTCAGAGCTACCTAGTTAATTATAATTGTTATATGTATAAAGTAAGTGTTAAGTGTTAATAATTAAATATTTTACAAAACTATCGTCGTTTACCACTTTTTTTGAACTAGTTACTCGCTATTAATTTGGCGTTTAACGTGAGGATACCAGAAAGTATTCTTTCAACATATATTCATTTCCTCACAACACAAAACAAGCTCTTTCTAAGCACTTTTGTCTTTTTATGGTTTCCATCTGCAATCCGTGATCGCCCATCCTCTTTTCATTAAAATTTTTTTTTCTTTCATTTTTCCATCTTTCTCTTGTGATTTTTTTTTCTTCGATTTGAATATTCCATATATTTATCTCTCACACCGTTCCCATTACCCCTATTTCTATCATCCTTCTTTTTTATGTATCTATATATGTACTCCACTAATTTTTTACAGTATGAATCCTAGATAGTTGAACTCAGTAACTTCTCTGATTATTTTTCGTTACTGTTTATTATTTGTAACATATTATGTCGTAGTTGACATACTATTTGCATCTTTACATGAAACAGTATTGTATTATTATGTACACAATTTAAAAAAACTGTTGGAGTAATTTTCTTATTTAATTAGAGTCCCAAAAGTATATTACACTTAGACCCTTGTTATCTAGCTATGCCACTATCACTCGCTTAATAATTTAAAAATTTCCTTGATTGACTGTGCCTAATAATAATTATAAAGATTTTGTTTGACCTTTTTGAGTAAACTTTAGGTGGAGTAATTTTATCAAGTGTCCTTTATTAATATTTTTCCTTTCTCAAAATATTAAGTTTTAATCAAATTGCTTCAACTAGAATTGGAATTACTAGCCTTGGAGGGACAGGCAGGCAGGCGCACCTGTTTAATCGTAAAAGAGCCATCGAACTTCTTTTACCTAGTCGCAATGAATTAGAATGGCGCAATTTGCTAACGCAAAAAAAGTATCATTAAACGTAATGTGTAGTTTGTGTCGTAACGAGCTGTTTAGCCTTTAATCAACCGTAGAGGTAATTGATGATGCGAATGTCCTTATTTTTTTATTATTCCTTCATTCGAAATTAAAAACGACAGTTGCAATCTTCGTGGGTGCCGAGTGTGTAAATATGTAATAATTTTGTATATAGGAATTTGGAAAGAGACGCTTGTATGTAAGTGGGTTGTCATTTTTACACCTCACATATTTTTTCTCGTAATACATTTAAATGTCAAATCGTGTGCGAATTTATGCAAAACTTTCGATTAATTTGGCGACGAAGAAGGTGCAGTCTAACGGACATTCTACAAGAGGTTTTATTACCTGTATTATTAACACATAATTATTATATTTTTTTGTTAACAGAGTGAATTTATGTTTTTTATGTTGCATTTTCTTTTTGTTCTAGGAGGCGATGGAACCTATCATTTTAAGCTGCTCGTGCCTAGTGTGGCGGCGGGGGCTATTATCGGAAAAGGGGGTGAGACGATTGCTCAGCTTCAAAAGGACACCGGGGCGCGGGTCAAGATGTCGAAATCACACGATTTTTATCCCGGTAAATTGGTGTTCGTAAATTATTTAGGTGGTTTTATCAAATCATCACTATGCCCATAGGCGAAAGACTGATTACTACCTACATCCCCACCCCTTTCTGTCATGAGCCAATTTCCGCCTTTCCTAACAACATTTCTATGTATTTGCGAAAAGTAATGTAATATAGGTCTTCCCTTTGCCTCTTTTTGCTCCTGTTTCTGCTTCTAATACGTCTCTAACTAGTCCTAACACACCACCTCTCCTTTTTCCTTGTTGAGATTCATAACGTCCTCTGTTTTCTTTTTAATAACTTCTCATTTCGACTCGATTCTTTGTTTTATGTATCTACCACTTTTCCATCCTGAATTATCTGGCTTCCTATATACCGAAATTAATTAGCGCATAATGTGTGATTTGTCGTACCGTTGTATCCATTTGGTAGTAACGCTATTTTTGTAAATTGTAGCATAATTAAGTCAACTATTACAGCAAATAGTTTCATCTTATACGAAATAAGCCATTGTTTGCTTAAATGATTTACAACACAATAGGGTTTCGGTTATTTACGAGTTATGTTTTCCTTATTTATTGAAATATTTTTAGTTTCTACTTGATAAATAATTGTCGTAGTGAACCTTGAAGTATTTGATATAAGAGCGTGCCTTATCAAAATTAATTTTTTAAATTTTCCTTTTTCTAACGTCATTCTTAGTAAGTATACTAATTCAAAAATTGTGTGATTCTTAATGGAAAAATTAAATAAATTTAAAATAATAATGTGAAAATTAATTTTCTGTTTTCCATCCACTACAAACTACCTCAGGTTAATGAGGGAAAATTTTTGTTGCTGTTGTCACTCCTAATTTACCTAATGATTTTAACATTAATAGTTTTCTTTATTTTAAATTAGCTTTATTTTTCGTAACAGGAACGACAGAACGTGTTTGTTTGATAACAGGCAACGTAGACGCCATTGTACAAGTTTTGGATTTTATTATGGAAAAAATTAAGGAAAAGCCAGATGTAAAACCCGCAATAGACGGTTTAGATGGCAAACTAGGACAAGACAGGGACAAACAAGTGAAAATATTGGTCCCAAATTCAACGGCTGGCATGATCATCGGCAAGGCTGGTAACTATATCAAACAAATAAAAGAAACGACCGGTTCATACGTCCAAATTTCCCAAAAAGCCAAAGATATGACTCTCCAAGAGAGGTGCATTACTGTGATAGGTGAGTAAATAAATAATTTAGCGGTAAAAAGAGTAGTAATGCTGTTGCTCTATTTATCTGTACTTATTGCGTTCGAATTGAGAGCCCCATTATCAAATTAAATACCTACCTAATGGAGATAAACAATTTTCAAAATTACCATATTATTAAGTCCAAGGTCAATTTACAAGCATATGTATGTGTCTAGTTTTGTAGCTGCCATCTTACGAAAGCTGCTACTTTTAATAAAAATATGCTGTTTTGACATGCATTTGCCATAACTCAATTGCTGAACATTCTTTTTATGATAATTTAGGTGAAAAGGAAGCTAATAAGCAAGCCTGTTTGATGATATTAGCAAAAGTAGTTGAAGATCCTCAAAGTGGTACCTGCTTGAATGTGTCTTACGCTGATATAAATGGTCCAGTTGCAAACTATAACCCTACCGGGTCACCGTATGCACAAAACACTGGTAGTGCATTTAATGCGTCCACAACTAGTCTGAACAGCGGTCTTAGTTCCGTTTCACAAAGTCTCTTGCTCAATGGAGGACTCAATCTCAGTCTGAACCTTAATGCGCCTGGACAGAATATGGCCACACTTACGGCTCAACTTTTGGATCACATTAAGGTAACACACCATATTAATTGATTAATTAATCCAATTTCTTGCTTATTTAGGAAAAATAATTTTTTAAAGACGAAACAGGAATATTTAAACCCAGTTGAGAGTTTTCTATTCAAAATTATTAGTATTGTTCAGGAATAAAATAATAAATCATAAATAACACAAAAAGTATAAAAGAAAGAAAAAGAATTTGAATTATATTCTGGATAATCAAGAAAATAGTACAATAAATAATGTTACTGTTGTTACTTACACTCTTTTTAGGACTTTTTATACACTATACATATGTATAGTGCTACTATATTAACAGGTATATTAATGTATTTATTTTACATTTATTTCTTTTTTAACTCAAATTTAACTAACGTTCTATTAAAAGTGTTAATTAAGAGTGAATAACTAATTTACCTTTAGACAAAATATAGGTTTCTAGATACTCGAGAAAATTCTAATAACTTTGACAAAACGTCGCATAAGTAAAACTACGTAGTATTACGATATATACTTTTTTTACTATCCAGTGTATCCATTAGCCAGATATTTAATCCAAATGGAGAAAAAATACATTCCATCATTATGATAATTACTGTTACATTCTAATACAAAAATGTATACTTTTTGTGTGTTACTGCATTTCGAATTATTTTTTGTTTGTTTGTTTAATTGTTGTTTTATTTTTGTTTAGTTACAATTAAGGAGTTCCGGTTTTACCGAAGCCCAATTGGTTGAGATTTGTGCCGCTCTATCTGTTCTGGCTAAGTACGGTATTCTGGGAATGGGTCTGGGTCTGGGCGGAGCGCCCACTGCTGCTCTGCCCGTTTCGAATTACCTGAGCGTTATGGAACAGGCGACCGCAGCCGCAGCTAACGCCAACACGGGCGTGTTCGGCCCCATTGGACAAGTTAGTCTCGGTGAGTGCTTAGGTGAGTTTTTCTTCCAAAAATGGCAATGCATAACTGAGGTCTTTTCAAAGGAAACAAAAGTGGTTTGATTACAAGTATGATAGAAGGTTTTTGCATACTGATTTGCTATTCACAGGTTTTAAATATATTTTTGTTTTTGATTGGAGGCTCGTTGACAGGTGCGACATCACCAACGCCCCGGCCGAGCTTGGAAAGGTACGAAACGTTTGATCCATTCAGGCACCCAAACTCGCCAGCCACTGCTCCCATATCGATCAACAACAACAGTTTTGGATTGGGAACTGGGCAGCAGATGGCCATATTGAATAAGAGTCCCACTCCAGCAGAATTGCAGAACAAGGATTCCAAGAATGTTGAAATACCAGAGGTCATTGTTGGCGCCATTCTCGGTGAGTACTTCTTTCATTATTCCTTAATTCAAATGCACTGTGATTCCTGCGAAACCAAAAAATACATCCCATTTGTGTTCGTTATAAAAAGGTTTAATTGCTGAATATGTCTCCTGTATGAACTTTTTTAATTGCTTTATTTAAAAGCGCTCCTTTGAAACTTGTAAGTAGTACCGGTACCCTTCCTAAGTTAAGTAGGAATTTTATATTGAAGTTGTCTGGGGACCATACATTTAATTATTTAGAAAACTTGAAACGCACGATAAACTTTCAGGGCCTGGTGGCAGGTCTCTCGTAGAAATCCAGAACATTAGTGGCGCAAACATCCAGATCTCGAAAAAGGGCATCTTCGCTCCAGGTACCCGAAATCGTATCGTAACAATCACTGGAAGCCCGAATGCTATCAATACTGCAACCTACTTGATCGAGCAGCGCATTTCCGAAGAGGAGATGAAGAGGGCCAGAAACAACTCGCTCAGTTCTCTCGGGATACAGTGATTCTCATTACAAGTAATTGGTGGTACAAAGGACGTATGTCTTGTCTTTCTTCTATTTTATTATTTTTGGTTGTCCTTTTTATCAGACGCTTTAAATTCCATGTGCGACTACAATGTTTTTCTCTTGATTGTTTCATTTTTTATTTTGGAGTTATTGTTCCTTTATTGAACTAACAAAAAAGTCAACATTGAGGGGTATTACAGAGGATTTAAAAAAAATGTCTGTAAATGTAATGAGAGGGATGCAATTTGTATCCCTGAAATACATGTATATGTATATCTTGAATATTGGAATCGCGTTAAAGTCGCTGTGCGGTAGATAAAGCCTGGTGTTTTTATTACTATTATTATTATTATTATTGTTTTTTGATAAATTTTGTTTTTGTATAT